GAGATGGCAACACACCTGCGAGGATTCCCTCGTGACGACGTCTTGGTTGCAGTGCCACGTGCAGTGGAGTGGCTCTGGCTCCAGCTCCGGGGCGTCTCTCTGGCTTTGCTTCAGGGGGACATGCTCTTGGCTGTTGACATAGAGCTGATGACATATGTCAGTGGTGCTGGGCATGTGCTCCAGGTGTGCCTGCCAGTGTTGGGAGTGCAGTGAGCCAGACAGTTGCCAGACGGCCCCCATGCGCCCCACCAGGCAGCAGGGGTGCAGGACAAGGTGGCGCCGATAGAAGAGTGTGTGCTCGGTGGACCACCTGCCCGGACACGGCTGCAGGGGTAGAGGCAGCCCTGTGGAGCACGAATCTGCGCCCTCAGCAGGTCTGCCACACTGGGCCACGGGGCTGACCGGGGTTGGTTTGGGGTTAGATCTGCTTCTAACCTCCGACAATGTGGCATCTCGGCTCCACGTGCCCGGTGCCCTGTTCTGTGGATCATGCCAGATGCTTGCACCCTGCTGGGCCCACATGGGTTTGCCATCAAGCAATAACTTTGGGAACATCCATCCATCTGCCTTTTGTGAAAATACTGGCGTTCCGGTTAACAGCCCTGCCTTGAGCATAGGAGGCAGCACCCACTGTGACCACTCAAGAGAAACAACGGGACAGACCTCTGGGTGAGAAGAAAGGTGCTGTGGGCATTGGGAGCACCCAGACCGCTCTGCAGCCCCATCCATATGGGGCAGCAGTGGGGTGCATAACATGATGAGTCATCACAGTAGCAGGGAGTCTCTGCCTGTTTCTGAGACCTGAGAGCAGGGTGTCCTCCCTGGTGTATCCGTCCTGGGCTTCTGCCCTCAGAGTCCTACAGGCAGCGAAAACTGGGCCTGCTCTGTGGGGGCCCAGGGAGGCCTAGAGGTTCCAGGAGACACCTGCACCCCAGGGCACAGCTGCTCCACGGTGGGGAGGGGGGCAAACCCTGCTGCCTGGGCCTGGGTGTCCCCACATCCTGCAGAGGCTCCAGAGCCAATTCCTTTATTGATGGGGTTGGGGGGGGGCACACTGGCCACTGGTCCCTGACTGGACAGCCTAACTAACGGCACAAGGTACAGCCCTCAAACACTGTTTACAGCCCAATAAGACTTTCCCTGGGTTTCCTGTTTCAGGGACCTATTAATTATTCACACAGGCCCGGCCTCTGTGTGGTGGGCTAGATGCTATCGAGCAGTTATTTTGGTAACTTGGTAAACAGAGCTTAAGTCTTTGACCCTGGGTCAGAGGTCAGCAACATCTGCCAGGTCGCTGCTTGGGGCCCTGAGGGGCGGGGGTAAGGGGGGGACAAGAGACCCTCCCCAGATTAGGTCTCTGGAGTCCACCCACCACACCCTCACCTGAGCCCTGCTCTGTGTATGAGGTGCTGGGTACTGCGCAGAGGGCGGGGAGGGTGGGCTCAGGGCGCAGAAACAAAGCAGGAACCCCCTGCCTCTCAGGCCTGAGTCTCTGGTTAGCAAGCAGCAGCCCGGAGGAGGGCCACCCCTGGGAAGGTGGATCTCATGGCAGGCCCTCCCCAGACGAAGGCCTCTGAGAACCTGGGGGAACCTCAAGCCCATGCTCCCCAAGGGGCTGTTCTCTATGACGGCTGCAGACTGACCCAAGCTGGACTACACCCGGGCAGAGCGCAGCAGCCCCAAGTGCTGGCTGCTGACATCCTTCCAATCCAAGGGCATGAACACAGGTGCTCAGGAGAAATGGAACGCAGGCTGGGGTCCCACGGGCTCGCTGCACGCCCAAGCCCTGAGCGACACCACAGGCACACGCAGAAACAGAGCAAGACTCCAAGAATGCTGAAGGCTCCTCCTGCCCCTCAGCCATGGTCTGACTGTGCCTGGGAGGACGCCTCAGATGGTGCTATGTGTCCTGGATGCGGGGTGGGTGGCGGCTGGTGTGCTCCTTCCTGCGGTCACAGACGCTCCAGAAGAGCAGGTCCTCCTTCTGGGGCCCGGCTGGGGCGTTTCCACTCTGCAGACGACTTTGATTTGATGGAGACACTTAGGATTGAAAGTCTGATGAGCAGCAGGCGCAGGACGGCGGGTTTCTATGGGGCTCCTGAGTGCATGTAACGGTTCTTGTCTGCCAGTAATGGTCTCCCCAGACCAGAGCCCACAGCCTGAGGACCTAGTGGCCACAGCCCAGCCCATGGGTGCGTAGCTTTCCTGGGAACAGCCCATGGGTGGCCCAGCCCCAGCAGAGGGAGGAGTGGGTGTGGTGCTGCAGCCCCTCATCAGGCAGATGCTAAAATAGCTCAGCACAGAATAAAACCTTGTGGTTAGCAAGCTTTCGCAGCAACTAAGAGACTTTTCTATTTTCATTTGTTTTATAATTGTCCACAAATTCTATTTTTATCCAATTTGTGGTCCACCCACTGAAGAAGAAAACAAACCCCCAAAACCCCTTGTAACTGCTCCCCTCGCACTTGCATAGACAGGCATGCACTCTGCTGCAGATCCATCAGAAAACACTAAATTACTAATTTCTCACCCTGAGCAGCACCTGATGTTTTCTGTTGAGTACCATTTACTTTCTGCATCTTACTTGTTGGGGCGGGGCAAGAGTTCCTCCTATTTAAACCCACAACCAGCCTTTTCCACTGGCCTCCGCTTCATCTGACATGATTTGTAGGAAATTTTAAATAGGATTTCAAGTTTTGTTAATTCCTCCAAAATGCCTCCTTCTGTGTGTAATGTCTACACAGTTGACAAATACCACTGTGAGGCCCTGGGGGCAGGGTTCCCGGGAGGGGTGAGTGGCAGAGGCAGTGCCCACATGCTCAGGGCGCAGCGCCCCCATCCTACAGGAGCGCAGGGCCATCCTCAGTGGTGGTAGCAGAGCCCCTAGAGTCTGCATCGCGACGCACTGGGTGGGAGTACCCGCAGGAGGCTCCCCCACAGGCCCGGTGCTGTTGCTGCTGTGATTTCAAGAAGCGGGGGCCATTGGCCGTCATTGGTCTGCTACCCGAGTCTCTCTTCCTGGGGCTGTTGGTTCCTTGCCGCAGCAGCCACCTGTGTTGGGCGCGAGTGGCAGCAGGAGCGAGAGTTACGCGTCCATTGTCCTGGGGCCCCACTAACACCAGCACCTTCACCTTCACCTGCCACGAAGGCAGGAGCCCACACTGTCCAGCTGGCGCCAGGCAAGTGGGCACTAGTTGGCATAACGCACACGGCCATAGGCCCTGGCCGCCCTGACTTCCCACAAGCTCTGGGCTGCTGACCATTGCAGGACAGACAGCCTTTCCCTCCAGAGCTTGTTCCCTGGCAGGATTTCGACTTATCTAAGCAGCATAAGGTAAAAATGCTAAGCACCCTGCGGAGCACCCTTCTGACGCACCAGGGCCCACGCAGGAGAGCCCGGCCCACTGCTGCCTATACCTGGGCAAGAGAGCAAACCATCCACACGCAGCCACTGCAGGGACCCCCAGAGGGCTGGGCAGGAGGATCACAGCTTGTTGGTTACGTGTGACTATGATCCACTGTCCACGCGGTGGCAGCCTCTGTGCCCATATGCCCTCCCCATCACCACACCAAGGTGCCCCCAGGGCCCCCGTGACAGATGTTCCAGCCCTAAAGTCGAGTGAAGCTCGTGCCCCCCAGTGTTGGGGTGTGAGACCAGCACCCAGAACCACCCTGACCCATGGGCAGGAGACCCCAGCCTGGCCCTGACTGCCTGTGGTGCCTCTTCCCTGGGAGCACTGAGCTCCTGGACGCCCTGGCCCTCACAGCAGGTCCTACTCAAGGAACGGAGAAGCACAGACGGGGACAGACGCCATGCGGCGAGCCCCAAGGTGGGGAGCAGAGGGGACAAGATCGTGGGCCCAGCTGGGACGCTCCAGGCTCCGCAGTCTGTGTAGGCCAGAGAACCTGCATTCCCAAGGCCCCTGGCCAAGAGCACACCCCAAGAACCTTGGACTTTCAGAAGGAAGGAAGTTTACAGATCGGCCCCTGGAAGCACCGTACTCCATGGCGCCTCACAGTAGCAGAGTTCACTAAGTGTTGGCCCTGGGACCTTGCGCTGGCTCCTGCTGACCTGCTGTGGGAGTTGCTGGGACGTGGGGTGGCGGACCGCCAGACCTGGGTGCCGCTGGGGTGGGGCACAAGGTCTGGGTGAGAAGCGGGGTGGGGGCTGGTGGCAGCTCTCAGTCCCTTCGACCCCAGCTCTGAGCTCACAGGATGGGCGGCAACCGTGGGCATTGGGGTTGGGGGGACGGGGACACCTTGCAGCCTTGTAACCACACTTGTCTCCGCAGGCTCTTACAGAAAAGGTCGTCAAATATAAACATTCTCATTTCAAGGTTCTATTTATTTTCTTTTAAATGTGCTAACCCAGGACACCTTAAGGAATAACTTCTGGGGTCATGTCTCCTAAGGGGCTCACAGGACGCCCTGTCTACACTGCTGCCGATGCCACCAGGAACATGGTGCAGACCCTCAGGGTCCTTTTCCCACTTCCCCGTCACGTCTGAATCAAATGTGTGCCCAGGAGGACAAGGGGACAGAGGAGCATCTATCTGGACGAGGCAACAACAAGCCTCAGCTTGCCACACGGGTCCCAGGGTTTGACACCACCAGGAGGATGACTCACAGATGGCCCCGTGGCTCTGGGACCCCCCCAGGGGACAAGTCTCCCCCTGCGGTTCCAGGACACCCCCCCAAGGGGACAGGCCTCCCCCTCACAGCTTCGGGACCCCTGAGTGGGATTCCCACAGTCATACAAAGCCTTGGGTTACTGACTGCAGCTGACCTCAGGTGGCAGCAGGAGGAGCTACAGGGCCCCTCACTGTTGCCACTCCACACATTAGGGAGAAAATCTGGACTATCTGTGCATCCCTGGCTGATCAGAGAACCTGGGAGATAACAAACTTTTTTAAGAGACAGAGACGCCGAGCCAGCTGTTGGCACGAGCAGCTGAAAACGCGTGTGCCCACGATCGGGATGGACCCCGGGGACCCCAGTACCTGCACGCTGGGGTGTCCTCCAGCCGATGCCTTCACGGCCCCCCGGCTGCCCTCCGTCTCATAGTGGGCTCTGTGGTGGGGCTTGGGCTGCACTTCAATCCTCAGCTCGTAGGGTCCCGAGCGTGACGGCAGCTGCCAGTCCAGGGCAGGGAGAGACGGGCTGAAAGGGAACACACAGCGGTTACATGCAGATGCCAAGTGCCTCCTCATCACCGCGGCACCGCGGGCCAGGCTGGCGCGTCCTGAGCACCGCCTCCCTCGGCATCTGACGTCTGACGCTCCCGCTGGTGAGTAGGCCATGCAGTGGCCCCAGGACTGGCCGACCGCCCCTGCCTGGGGCCTTCGGGACGAGGTTCTGGAACGAGCTCGACACCTCTTGCATGCACGACCTTCGCGGACTTTCCTTCCTCAACCTCCCTCAGGACACAGGTTCCAGGACCACTGGAAAATCCTTCCAAATCGCCAGGTAAGAGCCTGACCTGAGAGCCGGGAGGCCCGGTCCCGACCCCTGGCCCCACTCACAGGTGGGCTGTGGAACGCAGTGGGGGCGTGGCGGGGCCCCTGTCCACAGTGCGCTCGCCATGACCCCGGCCCAGGCCCTCAGTCCCCAGACCCCGCAAGACAAGCAAGCGCTGCTTGCTGCCAGGCTCCTGGACAAGGCCGTGGGAACACGGAAGGCAAAGGCGCCACAGGACGTCAGTCGCGTGAGCTGGTTCATCACCATGGCGCTGGTGAGGGGTGGCCGATGTGCAGCATGTGCTGGGGCCCTGCTGTACAGACAACGAACAGGGTAATCCACAGAGGGAGCCCATTTGCCCCTGGGCACCGGGTCCTGCTGACCCTACAGGACATGTCTGGGTCCTGCTCTCCACCAAGATACAGGTCGGGCCATTACGTCCCTGCAGCACCTGAGCCTCACCCTCGGCGCTGCCGCCTGCTGTGCACATTCCAACTCGGTTTCAGCAAGCGAAACCCCGAGTCCCTGGGTCCGGTCGGCGTGTTTCTCCCCATGTAGACAAAGCTCAGGGATCTCTAGAGAAAATGATGCAGCGATGTGAGCAACTGGAGGGAGATGGAGCCTCGTGCGCGGAAAATCTGTTTGCCCAGGATGGGCTGGAGGGAGCGGGAAATGCCTGTGTTGCCTCTAAGCAACCACTAAGCAGCCAAATGAGACTTCTGACGAGGGATGTGCCACAGGGCAGTCAGGGCAGTTCCCGAGATGTCACTGCAAGCCCAGCGTGCATCTGTGAGTGTTCTCAGAGGTAAGGGGACATCTTTTAACAAAACGAAATACGTAACTGGATACCCTGGCTTTGTAAAAAAAAAAAAAAAAAAAATCACGTTTTCAGTGTCATGGCATGTTGTTAATGATGGCTTGATTGCCGTGTCCTGTTTCCACACCCGAGATGAGTGCTGCCTGCTGGATTTTGGGGTTGTTCTGATTTGCTGCCGCTGTCCACAGCAGAGACGCAACAGTCCCCCTATGAGGTCTGGGCCACCTCCCTGGTCACTTCCTTCGCCCAGAGTCACAGCCTCCATCAATGATGGTGCACCCTGGACCCCCCTGACCCATCCCCAGACACCAGCGGGAGATGCTCAAGGGCGGCTGTAAGGACCTCACAGGCGTGGGCCTGACCTGTGCTGACATTTGCCAACACTTCCTTCACTGATGCCACACCTTCAAACACACCAAATGCAACGTATTAATGCTACTTCTACACCTCCCGTGAAAACCTCCAGAGTGCCCCAAATCCACTTGATTTCTTACAGAGTCTCACCAAAGACAGTGTGGACCCTGTGGGCACTGGCCCAGCCCCCAGCCCTCAGCCAGCCTGCTCCTGCACAGCCTACAAGGCCGGTCCAGTTGGCAGTCACTGTCCTTAGTACTGTCCTCTACAGCAGGTGGGATTCACCAGGTGCGGCGGGACATGCTCTCCTAGACTGCATATGGGCTGCGAATTCTCAAAACACAGCACGGGAGGAAGTCCCACAGAGGGGACCCTGGGAGGTCCGCAGCCACGCAGCCTGGGGCCCCTTGGGAACCCTCCAGGCTCGTCTTCTGGAAGCTTCTATTCTGGGGAAGAGGAGGAGCTCTTGAGGAGCTCCCAGCAAATTACTGTGGTTCTCCTGAATTCCTACAGGGTTCTCCTGACTATAATATGATGATGGGGATGGTGCCACCTTGCTCAGCAGTGTGGATGGTAAATGGGCTGCTTCGCACAGACGCCAAGCTCCCCTGGGAGCCCGCGAGGGCCCAGGGGCCAACTGGCTAACAGAACAGGGATGGTAGCTGTGGGCGACCTCTACAACCTTCCATGAATCTGGAATTCTTATGAAACACAAAGTTTTACAAATGCCTGTTCCTGTGGCGCCTGGAAGGCTCGGGAAATCTCAGGTGGTAAGATGGAGCTGGCTCGTGGCAAGTGTCCTTGAGATGCGCTCCCTCAGCCCCTCCCGCCCTCAAGAAAATAATAAAACAAATCAATAAACCTTAAAAATGCTTGTCCTTGTGCTCGGGAAACAAATTTCATGGCCTGCACCCATCACTACTACCGTTGCCGCCAGAGGCCAGCAAGCTACTGCGACACGAGGGCCCACCGGCCCAGCTCTCCAGTGGTGCCGGGCCTAAATCACTGCCGAGCGCCTGCTGTTTGCACCTCAGTACAAGGGCACCTCTACCCCTCCGGGGGCAGGAACCCTGTCCCAGCCTTCCTGCCTCCCCTTCTGCCTGGGGAGCCAGCACCTACAGGTGGCACAGAAGCCCGGCTCCCCTGTGCTGTGTGCCAGGGACCCCACTGGCCCTGCCCTGTGCGCAGGGCAGCTGGTGTGACAGCGCGGGAAGCAGGTCGCAGTCTCCCCTGGGGCCTCCTCTGTGCGTGGGTGAGGCCTCCTGGGGGTAAGAAGGGGCCTCACACTCCCAGTCTGAATCACCACTGCTTGCGGAGCCGCTGCCACTGCCCATTTCCCATGAGAACTTTCAACTCTTACTGAACCTTTGTTTCCTCCTCGGAGGAAGGCGTGAAGGTTTTTTTTTTTAAATGCTTAGCTCACAGCATCTCCTGACGCCTACACACCGGTGGCCTGCTGTCCCACGGCCCCGTGAGGCCCTCCCCACCTTCCACGGCCGACCTAGCAGGTGCAGCCAGCACGAAGAGCTGCTCTATGGCCGTAGGGTCTCACTGACTGCCAGTTCATGCCCGGCTAAGCCACCCAGGACCAGCGCTAGCCAGGTTGGGCCCTGTCACACACCTGCGCCGAGCCATACAAACACCCTTCCCGCCTCACATCTGACATGCCGACCCACTAACAGGTGCTCAGTGGCAGACGCTGCCCTGACTGCCTTGTGGATGGAGCTGGTCACCACGTGGTGCCTGCGATTCCCTCCATTGTCTCTGGGTGAGGGGACCGGGAGCCCGGCCACTGGGAAAAGTGCTGAGACATGGGTAACTGTCCGCCCTGGAGCCCAAAGCCAACACGACTCTGATGACCCCCAAGAAGCCCTCAGCCGACATCTGGGTCCCATGGGGCAGTGGTGGCTGTGGCTAGCACCCTGGGAGCCCTGTGGCTAGAGGAACCAAGGCAGTGCACAGGCCAGACCTTCCATCTTGCTTTAGGGCATCTCCATGACAACCGCTGACAGTAGAGGGCTGCCAACGTCTGCCTCCTGAGGGACAGCACGTGCCATTTTGCCAAAACACGAAGCCAGAATTCTGGCAAACATACAGATTCAGCACTAATTTCAGAAAATAAAGCAAAACAGAACAGGGGATACCCAGGACAGGCGAGCAGGACACGGCATGCCTTGGGGACACTGGGGGAGACCCAGTCCGGGAGGACCCTGATGGCCAATGGTACTACAGTCTAGGAAGGAGCCATAGCTCTGAGGGGTGCCCCGAGCTACGCCATGGGGTGATGCGCCATCTGGGCTGTGCTGCACAACGGCCACCCGGGGACTGTGGTCCGGGGTGCCTATGGTACTCCACAGGAGGAGGGGGAGGTGTGCCACCAGCGCCAGCCTCGTGGGCACCCTGCAGAGCGCGGACCTGGCTGCCCTGCTCATCTGGGCTTGCGGCTCGCTTTTCCCATTAACCTGCAGCTTGAACGTCTGGAGCAGAACTGAAGACACAGTAAACCTCCTACGGTTCAGCATTCTCTTGCTCCTCACGAGCCCTGTGGCTGTTCTGAAGAGCTTGTGCCCTGCAGCTGAGGGCTGCCTGGGATTCCCAAGGCACTGTGTCCACGCATTGGAAAGCTCATTTTCCACACAAGCCAGAGTGGGGATCTCCATCACCCTCAGTGTGAGGGTTTCTGGCTGGGGCCGAAGGCCAGAGGGGAGGCAGGTCTCCTGAGTCAAGGGTTTGGGTAAAATCCCTTTGCTTCCGAGGTTTCCAGGTCCACGTGGACTTATCATGTAGAAGGAAGCTGTAAAGGCTTTTATAAGTCCTATTTTCCTAAAGCAGCTGAAGCCATAAACTCCGAACCTGGCAGGACCCAGACTTGCCCAAACCAATGACAATCCCACCTGAAGGAAAGGGTGTGACCTCAATCCTAACGCCGTGGGTTCTCAGGGTTGCAGCCAAAGGCCTCCCCACCGCCCGCTGTTTGTTCATTTTCCAAGGGGTCATGGGTGCGGTTATCAGGCCGAGGTGGGGCGGGGGGCGCGGGCACTGAGGCTGCGGGCAGGGATGGGCCTGGACCACACAGGAGCCTACACAGGCCCATCTGGCTCCAGCCCCCAGCTCTGGGTCATAGGTCGGCCTTCTCGGCAAGGACTTCCCTGAGTTGTGTCAGGAGGCCGCAGGCAGGTCCACCCAGGGCAGAGCCCTGAACAGCGATCCAGCAGGTGTTCCCGGGGCGCATCCTCCCCGCCAGGGCCTGCCGTTCCTGGGGGTCCCCTCCCATCTTGCCACAGGTCGCCCCTCGGGGAGGAGCTGCAGGGACAGGACTAGGGAATGGACCCCGTGCGGTGCCTCATCCCTGGGAGCCCTAGGGGCAGCTTTGGTGGGGCACCCCCTGCCTGCGCTATGCCCTCCAGAACAGTGCAGACCCCTCCTCCCTACAGCTAGATGCACGAACCCCAGACGTTCCCTACAGTTCAACTGGGCGGGCGGCTCAGTGAGACAGGGAGCAGGAGCTTCTTTGTCCAGAAACCCAGGCTCA